CACTGGTCACTGCTGAGTGAGGCCGCTGCAACTCAGGGACCACGGAGGGGAGGTGCCATGAGCTGGGCAGGGAAAGGGCCAATCCTGCTCAGGCAGGGGAAAAGGATGGGGCCCTCATGGAATAGATGTATGTAGTTCATTCATTTAGATTGTCAGTATGTGATGTGCTGTGTTCTGTGTCCTGCCAGGGCCTCACCACTCTGTCCTATCTCCACTGCCTCCCCTTCTGCATCCCTGTGATCTAAAGGCTGGTGGGAGTGCAGCCGGGGTTGCTGCAAATAAACTTCCTTCCTTTAGGGTCTGGTGGTCTCTATGCCCCTGGCTTCCCTTCCTAAGCTAGACTGGCTATTAGAGAAGGGGCTGGAGGCCCAGTTGTTGTTGATACTGCTCTTCTTCCTCCTTTTCTTCTTTTTGTTTATTTTGAGACATGGTTTCATGTAGCCCAGGCTGGCTTTGAGCTCACTATGTAGCTGAGGATGGCTTTGAACTTCTGATTCACCTGAGTGTTGAGATTATAGATTTGAATGCTAGGCAAGCACTCAACAAGAATCCATTTTTGAGACCTCTACTACATGTGGTCTTAGACTCAACTCTCCCAATGAAAGGACTTTCCCATATCCTTTGGCCCTTCAATTTAACATAAAGGTGAAAAAACCAACACTCAGAACACAAGAGAAAGCTGCTCACGTTCCGATCCATGTTCCGATTCCTGACTCCTAAGCTTCTAGTAGGACTTGTGGCGCAGAGGGCCAGGACCAGGACCTCAAGCCCAGTGCTTTGAATTTAGCTCTTCCTGCCCCTTGGGAGTGATTTGCAGGCTGAGGTCACTCAAGCAGTCATCAGTTCTGCAGGTCCACTGAAGATGATAACCCGGCTCTGTATGGTGCAGAGTCCTGGATGTCAGTGTGCTTGTCTGTCCATTCATTACTCACGAGGAAACATGGCTCCCAGGTTGGTAGGGTCAGGAATTCTGTCCCTTCTTACCCCTCACCTTCCCTGGAGGCTGACCAGGAAATGTTTGTGCTTCCAGCTATGATCTGGGGGTTCTGCCCCTTAGATGCTCATGCTGGGGCAGGGGGCACCCAGGTCACAGAGAGGATTTCCTTATCATAGACACTTTCCTTACAGTTTTCTCAAAGATCCCAGAGCCCTGGGATCTTCAGGTGATCTCTGGGTTGAGGGGCAGGGGCTGCTGAGACTTGGGTTTGCGTCCAAACCTCGTCACTTGTGAACTGAGTAAGATGAACAGGTCTTCCCCTTCTCTAAGACTTGGCGTTCTCATCTGCTGTGAGGAGAAAACAAGGCCCTCACAGAACTACAGCAATGGGAAAATTGGACCCACTCTGTGGCAGAGTCACAGTTTCAGATAAGCCTGGTCCCATCTTCACCAAAAGACCATGCAGATACCCCAAACCCACACAAACTGGCATCAGAACTGGAAACTAACAGAAGAGATCATCACAGGCCACTGTCCAGGGGGTACTTTCCATTAGCTGCAAGGTTGATGGAGGATGGAGAAATATAACCCTGGACTCTGTGAGGCAACGGCGGGGGGGG